GGAGATACGTAATTTCCTCTTACCTATAAGGACCAGTCTATTTGTTCTCTTTTCGTCTTCTTTCCAGGCTACTGCAGTCTCCTCTAGATCATAGAGCTCATGGACACCTTGGACTATCACCTGATGAGATTTGCCTTGAACAGATACCAGTCCCTTATCAGAAAAATAACTGTTAGGATATATAAACAAACCTTTAAAAATTAAATACCTAAGAAGGGAAAAAATCTTTGAAACCAGGCCAAGCAGGTAAAAATATTTCCGGCAACTATGCACCAGTTAGTGAAAATAACCATGTAGTATGATCACTTCTACTCCTAACATCCATTCTCACACCTCCTTATTTTGTTAAAGACTAATAATTACACTTTGCCATGCTCTGCCTTCTGTTCCTCATTTGGTCAGTATCTAGCACACTCCAGCAAAAATAAAATGTCATCAGCTACCATGTCACTTTGAATACATGTAGCGTATGACGTATGTGTCTCCGAAAGACTTATTGCCAGTAACGATGATGTAAAATGAGCAAAAACATTTCATTTCAGATTATTCTGATTAACCTCTCATGCTCAGCATATTCACTATTCTCAAATAGAATCTTTCAATATTGGAGAACGAATAAGCATTTGTGAAGTAAGATGACTAGCAGCAGAATTTGAAGGGATTACTGTCAGTGTGAGCCCATTAACCCGCACACCAGAAGTTGTATTAGAAGAATCTTCATCCCTTTATGTAAATGTAAAACATTTTTGTGGAACACACTCTGTAAAACATGTCTTATGCTTCCCTAAAGAAAAAAAAAAAGTAAAAAATATTTCATGAAAAAAGGTCTGCATTTGACATATTAGTTGGAATTCTATGACTATCACTGCCAAAACGATTATGACTACAGGTAAGACATAAATATAAGAGCTACAAACTTTAGAACCCATCCTATAATTACCTAGGGTTCATTTGCTATGTGGTATTTGTCTGTGACTGAGGGCCAGCACACAGCCTATCACAGGCCTCAGATCTCCTAAAGAATTACGCTGATTCCAATGCTCAATACAACAAAATGTACATGTGCACAGTACATTTCAGACACTTTCCAGACAGCGTAAGATGCATCACTGGCTACCTTCTTCTGTTTTAAGGAAGAGGAAGACACAGATATTCTCCTTTTGTTGCTGAAAGAGCAAGAATACAGCCTTTCTTCCAATTAAATTAAAATAATTATGTCACTATCCATGACACACATGCATTCTCAGAAAACAAACCAGAGCATATTTTCTTGTATTTCTTACAGTCTACCAAATGACAGGCTTGATTCTCATTTTTTAATGATTTAATTGCCTGCTTGGTGTAAGGAAAATGAAAATACATCCTAAACTGGCACCTGCGCTCCTCTCAAAACAATGCAACTGAAAAACATATGAAGTGCCCATGAAGATAACGATTTATGGGCTGCATCTTTAAAACTATGGTCTGACAATATCATGAAAAGTTCCAAGTGTAAACCACAACGAGTACTGCGCTGCTATGTTATGCCAAATTCAACTTCTGCATATTATGCCAACGGTTATAATTATGGATAGCAATCTATAGTATCCAATCCCTAAATAAGGAGATGTTTATGTGATGGAAACTTTCAAAGCGATAGAGGTGACAAATGAAAAAGTGATTTAACTATGTCCTTATCACTAACTTTGCCACTGATGCCTGGGATTGTACATCTTCCCTCTCGATTCAAAACAAGTAGGATCAATGTTTGCTTCTCTGTCAGCTATGTCCTTTTGAGTTGTTCCACCAGTCAGCACATGACAGACTGTCTCTACAAGGAACAATGACAAATTGCTACTCTCCATTTTGTCTGCTCTGCTACAATGATCCAGTAGCTTCTCTGATAGGTCTGTAAGTGACAGCACACTGCAATTTTTTACGTATAAAAGAGGACAAGCACAAAGAAGTTAGTAATTTTTGACTAACCTTTAGTCTTATGACATCCATGATCTGCCCAGTCTTATCTTTCACATTCTTCTCCCACAGAAGATTCTATGAAAAGGAAAAATGTTTTCATGAATAGAATAGCATGGGATAATTTTCTATAAAAAGCCACAATGATTTCTCAGTTGTCAGTGATGTATTACTTACCTGAATAAAGAGATTTAAGTTTTCTTCTTTTATATTTCCTGGAACTTCAAATGTTACTGTAATTATACCCTGTAAATGGAAAGACCCACTTATTACTACCCAACTGAATAAATGTTTCATTACATTAATTTCAAGAACTGTTCTTTATAACTTGGCCTCATAAAAAAAAACTAACTCATGTCAAATTTAAAAAAAAAAATTCTTCATTTCTATTGTACTCTAATCTGCTCTATTATGCTATACTTTTTGTTTCTGTTTGGGTGTGCACTTAAGGGGCATACACAATACTTTGATTAGTTTAATGCCATCAGCTTCTACCATGTAATTCTTTCTTAGAGAGCAAACATCATCTACAGCAAAGTCTAACAGTTGTAATTCCTACAGGCTAATAAGCTCAATCTTTCAAGTAGGTTTCAGAATGCTATTTTCTCGGCAGTCTGATCTTTGTCACAATTTCTGATCTTTGTCACAACTCTATCAGATAAAAATTAACATATTTTTCACCTATCTGTACTTTTCTGTTATGAAAAGCTTTTACAAATAAAACTATGCAGGAACAGATTTGAAAAATAAATATGTCAGAAGTGATGTTTTATTCCAAAGCAAACAACAGCTTACTGCTCAGAACCAATTATTATCAAAACGGAAGATGAAAATAAATGTGTAACTGAAAGTAACAATTTATTAAAAAATAAAGGAAATAATGTGTCTTAAACTTACTTTTGTCATTATAACCTCTCAATTGCATAAAAGAACATACAAAGAATTACTTTTTGTACAACCTAGAATTCTATTCTATTACTACTTTCAGATGAGTCATCTAACTTAACAAAAAAAAAAAAAAAAACACGCAACAACCAGTACATCTAAATGCTTATTTAATAACCAAGTAAACTTGACAGAACAACCAAGAGCGAACACTTTGAGCAGCTTCAAACCAAAACAGACAAAAGTTCACTATGCTCCATGCATAAAGCAGTATTGCTTCTGTTGACCTCCCACAGGAAGATAATACGTTTTACCATCCAACAAGGACTTGCAGCCTCCTGCAAGAGAAGTGTTCTGCTCTCATTTATGCCTCATCTGTCTCAACGACAATCTTAGAACTCAGTGTTGAACTAAGCAGGGATAGTAACAACAGATTCTCACTGTTTCCTACTGGTTGAACAGCTCCACACTACAAAAACAACACTAATTTCCTTAATAATATGAGCATGTAACTCTCATATCACTCAGGAAGGCTTCTACTGAACTTTTTTCTACTTTAGAGATGTATTCTGACTTTTCTTACTATAACTGAACATATTTAAAATTAAATCAATTTTTAATTAAACAAAAAGCTATGAAGATTCTGATCACAATTACAGCTAAGCATGAAACTGATTTTTGTATTTAATCTTTAGTTCCAAATGAGATTATAATTGCCTTTTGATGTTTTCAAACAGAAATATACAGCCACTGTATGCACCATATTTTAACCTGAAAGTTACATTTAATCATAGCAACTTTCTAGAAGGAAAGAACACTTTTCTAACCCTCTGCATAAAAATACAGGCTCTTCTTTTTTGTAGCCCCTGAGGGGACTGTTTCTCATGGGTGAACTGCACCCAACTGGGGATACCTTGAGGGGACTGTGACCCACAACTCATTCACAGAGCAGCATACATGTATATGGACGGGGGCCTGTGTGTGACCCATGGAGCAGGGACACTAAAGAACAGAGCAGTAACAAAACCACTAAGAAGCAAAAAGGAGCAGAAAGCTACTACACAAAACTCCAGGCCCTGGTAAAAAGTCTCTGCCTTCCAGTTCTGGAACGCTGCAATAAGGTCTCCCTAGAGCCTTCTATTCTTCAGGCTCAACAACTCCAACTCTCTCAGCCTGTCTTCACAGGAGAGGTGCTCCAGCCCTCTAATCATTTTTGTGGCCCTCCTCTGGACCTGCTCTTAACAGGTCCATGTCTTTCTTGTGCTGTGGGTCCCAGAACTAGATGCAGTACTCCAAGTAGGGAGTCACCAGAGTGGAGTGCATTATTGCAATGACTTGACCCACCAAGCAGGGGCACTCCACAGGTACTGAAGGCCCTGCATGAACCACAGGGAAGGAACCCTAGGGAACAGAGCAGTGATAAGGAACGGAAAAATCATTACACAAACCCCCAACTTCCTACACCACTGAAAAAAACAGGGAAAGTTGGGGGAGGGAGGGAGAAAGGAGAGGTGTTCATGTAAGTGTCTGTGCAGCTGTTTTGCATTTCTGGTTTTCAGTACTCAACTCAGTAATTACAAGTTTTTGTTACCTGGTAATAAATTCAGTAATTCCCTAACTTAAGACTTTTCTTCTTTTGAGAAGGGTCTAAGTGGAAAAAAATACCATGATCATAACATTTGGAAAAAAACCAAAACACAAAACAAAAAAATCACAATCCAACAAACAAACAAACAACAACAAAAAAAGGAAAATTAAAAGGGAGCCTTTCTAGTAAAACCTGTACATTACAGACAAAACAGATGCTTAAAAGTACCAATAAGCATAGAGCAGTTTATATTCTGTAGGGATGATGGCCCAGACCCTTTTTCCTTAAATTCACCTTTGAAATTAGATATGCTATTCACAAAAAAATACTGTATTGGCTCAAATAAATGCCACAAAGGCAGAAATCTTATTTGCAGTTGCTTTATGCTAGCATCACTGCATTGCACACAGGGAGATAAATGATTCTGCCCTGATATAAACACACATTGGGTTGAGTATCAGGGGGTGGTGGGTAGGAATACATTTTATTGTTTAATTTGACATACTAAAAACAACATCAACAGAATTGTTGGGTTTTTTTAGCATACATATGCTTACAGCATTAATATCTAGTTTATAGGGCAGAATCTACCTCACTGATACAAATTAAATTGTTACTATTTCTTATGAAGACAATGGGAAGCACTCATAGAATGGAAATACACATGTGCAGCTTTAAAGAATGCAAAGCCATGACTAACATCTCCCTCATACCTACATACCAGACAACATTTGGACTCAAAAGCTACAGTATAAAAACAGGCTACAAATTTAGGACTTGATTCTGCAATTATTAAAAAGAGTAGTGCTATTTGTCTGTTTCAGAAACACTCTGAAACATGATGTGACCGTCAGGAGCAGTGGAAGCTTATAAGCTATTTTTGAAGGATTCTAAATTGATATACTAAGTCTATCTACAATAAAGTACATTCCTGTATGTATCCAATGTAACCTTCCAAAGATCTTAAAACACATTACTCTCAAACTGAAACCTTCTGAAAAGGTAACATGACTAGCATGCAACGCTTGCAATTACCTTGAGCAATCTTGTTACAAAAAGACTGAAGCAGTAGTTTTAGTAATTACCTTATCTAGATGTGCACATGTTGACTTTATATGCTCAAGCTTTTTCTGCAAACTGAAAATTAAATAAAGTTAAATGTCACATTTGAGTAGGATGGACAAAACGTCATTATTTCAAAATTTAAATAAACTCTTCAGTATTGCAGAGCAAAACTAAAACATCAAAAGATAGACTGTATGCTCAGAATAAGCTTCAACTGTTATTTTTCAGTTTTAAATTCAAAATAGATATGTTTAATTATATTGGTTTTATCTAGTTAATGATTTGTTTTAGAACGCTAGGTTTTTAAACTATAAACAACTATAATAATGATTTGCAGTATCTTTGAGATTTCAAGTATTTATGCTTCAAGAAGTACAACACTTGATATTCCTTTATAAAGGAACAAAAGGTAAACTACATCATTACACTAAAGCAACAAGGGAAAAAATCACTAGATTTAGAATCACTAGATTTAGAATCACTAAATGTCTATTTATTAGACATTGATTTTTTGAAAATGTTTTAGAAGGATGATTTGAAAGCAAGAAGCACAGAAAATGTACAAAACTGCTTCTTGTGAGAATGAAATCTGTAACACTAAGCGAAATACTGTATCATGAATCACAGAACACCAGGTTGGATGGGACCTCAAGGATCATCTGGTCCAACCTTTCTTGGCAGAAGCATGGTCTGGACAAGATGGCCCAGCATGTCCCGCCAAATCTTAAAAGTGTCCCATGTTGAGGAATCCATCACTTCCATGGGGAGATTATTCCAACGGCTGATAGTTCTCATTGTGAAAAAATTTCTTTTTGTGTCAAATCAGAATATGCCCAGGAGTAACTTCTACCCACTACCCCTTATCTTTTCCATGTGACTCCTTGTAAAAAGGGAGTTTTCATCTTCTTTGTAGCCAACTCTTTCAGCACTGGAACATGGTCTTAAGTCTCCCCTAAGTCTTCTTTTCTCAAGGCTGAACGAACCCAGTTCTCTCAGCCTTTCCTCATGCAGCAAAATTCCCAGTCCTTTGATCATCTTCGTGTCCCTTCTATGGACCTTCTCCAGCTTGTCTACTTCTTTTTTGCATAGCGGGGATCAAAACTGAACATAGTATTCCTGGTGTGGAGTGGGATGATGACTTCTTTATCTCTGCTGGTGATGCCCTTGTTGATGCAACCCAGCAGCCTGTTGGCTTTCTTTGCTTGTACTGAACTTCTGGATTACGTGCAAGACTTTACACTTGTCTTTGTTGAACTTCATTAAGGTTCTTGTTAGCCCACTCTTCCAGCCTACCCAGGTCTTCCTGCAGGGTGTCTCTCCCTTCTGAAGTGTCTACTTCCCCACTCAGTTCGGTATCATCAGCAGACTTCATCAGGGCACATTTGATCCCATCATCCAGATCACAGATCACTTTTGAAGATGTTAAACAGTGTTGGGCCCAGTATTGATCCCTGGGGACCCCCCATTCGTGACAGGTTGCCAGTTTGAAAAGGAGCTATTTACCATCACTCTCTGGGTGCAGCTTGTCAGCCAGTTCCCCACCCACAACACAGACCATTTGTCTAGACCATAACACATCAGTTTCTCTCAGAGGAGGCTGTGGGAAACCAATCAAAAACCCTGGACAAATCCAGGTAGACAACGTCCTCCACTCGCCTCACATCAACTGAGCAGATTACTCTGTTGTAAAAGATGATCAGGTTTGTCAAGCATGATTTGCCCTTGGTGAATCCGTGCTGGCTTTTCCCAATCATGTGCTTCGTTTGACTTGTGATAGCCCCCAGGAGGATTTGATCCACACTTTCCCAAAGACTGAAGTAAGACTGATGGGCCTATAATTTTCTGGATCCTTCTTTAAGTCCTTCTTGTAGATGGGAGTGACATTAGCCTTCGAGTCTTCTGGGATGTGCCCCGATCAGTACTTCTCAAAGGTTATGGAGAGTGGCCTTGCAATGACATCAGCCAGCTCTCTTAACATCCTCAATGGTTATTCTCAGGGCCCATCAATTTGTAGGGGTCAGGCTCCTGTAATAGCTCACATACCAGCTCTTCCTCCACTGATGGTAGGTCTGTGTTTGCATCAACCTGCATTTTTGTCCCCAAGGCTGGAACCCAACAATGCCGGTAAAGACAGAGGTGAAGAAGTCTGAAGAAGCTCTGTCTTTTGAGTGTTGATGGTGACTAATTCATATCTCCTGTTTAACAGCGGGCCAATATTTTCCCCACTGTTTCTGTTTGTTTACGTACTTGAAGAACCCTTTCTTGTAGTTTTTGACATCTCTGGCCAATTTCAATTTGAGCTGAGCTTCTGCTTTCCAAACTGCATCTCTGCAGACCCTGGCAATGCCACTGTATTTCTCAACAGCTATTCGTCCACTTTTCCATCTCTGGTACACTTCTCTCTTGGTTTTGGACAGACTCAGAAGCTCGTAGTTAAGCCCAGGGCTCTCTTGCTCTGCTTACTTGCCTTATCTTTAAAGAAGATGAACTGGTTTTGTGCTTCCAGAATAGTATTCTCAAAAAACTCCCAGCACTCGCTAGCTCCTTTGCCCTTGATGGAAGCTTCCCACAGAATCCCTCCCAATTGAGTTCTGAGCAAAATTTCACTGTACAGAGCTCAAATAAAATCAAAAGAAACAGAAGTTCATTTATAGCAGTCTATAACCTTCTTAGTGCTTTCAGAATTTGCCTTTAAATGCTGCAATTTTAGAGTGTTTCCTCTGTTTTAACACCAAACATTGAGAACATCCAAAGGAACTATGAGTGAGAGAAGACTAGACCAAGTGTTACCCAACAGTATCACAAGGAAAGAAAGACGGGGTTTTTTTGTCAGCTCTTTAAGGACTTTCTCAGATTTGCAGAGCACAGCACTTCTCAGTAAACCTTGCAGAATGCCACCTATTATTATAGCTAATCAGATCTAACTGTGATTTGCCATTGTCAAGAACAATCCTTTTCCGGTTCACATCTTCTTAGTGGTTTCTCTCTGTTGTGTGGCTCCAAGATGAGTCAGTTTAGCTAGCTGATCCATCATAAGAACTCAGGACATGGGTTTATAATCTGGTTTATGACTTAATAGTTATCTATGGGCCACAAAGGATATATCGGCCTTCCTCCTCACTTATCTTTCTTTTAGACGCCTGTTCTGATACCTCTCTGATGCTGCCATTGGTACAGAACTGACTGGTACACTCAAGGAGCTCAAAAGAAACAAACACTACTTTCCACAGATCAGACAAATCCAGTGCCAGCAAAAACAAAGGGCAGCTGAGAGTTAGAAAAAATAGGCTATCCTCTGGATAGTACTGCACCAGTTCACTGAGAAATCTTGTAAGCGCATCTCATCTACTAGAGGTTACTAGCTTGCATCTTCTGCAATTTCTCCCTCTGTGAATAAGGAAGTGGGTACGTTCCTTTACCTGATGTAAACAGTGTGTGTCCAGGAGGAAAAATGAAGCTGACACTACCCCCAGTTGTACATTCCCTCCCTTACGACAGCTCCAGTACTCCTTGTTCTCTTCGCTGAAGAATTTCAGCACACAAAGTGAAGAGAAAGCCCTTCTCCTCTCGTCTCTAATATTACTCTTCCACCCATCTAGCATGTCAAATTCACATTTGGCATTAAAAACCAAACAAGATCAAAAATGGAACACAGCAACCAGAATTTGCAGTGCCTTTTTGCTGTGGAATCTCAGTCTCTCCTTGTCTCCTATGAAAAGTAAGAAGGCCTCCAATTCATCATGACGTGAAGTGAGAAAAATTTTGAAATCCTTTAAGTTTTAAGAGAACCAGAAAAGAGTGTACAAATCTGCTCTACTACTACTATTAAAGCAAAACTCATGCTTTGGGAAAAAAAGCCAACCAACTGTGCACACTTTGGCTCATTTCACTTTACAAAGTCAAAAAGCTTTTGTTGCATGCATTTTGAGTGGACAAAATTCTCAGTCTCACATTACCACTTATAAAGTGAGAATTTTAAACGAGTGACTAAACTAGAAGTTGTAACAGAAACTCAGAGGCAAATTTGAGCTAGGATTTGAGTATGCCTTATTTCACACATGCATTCACACAACAAATATTATTTCTAATAGAACACAGTGAAATTATCACCATACCTTATTCCAGATAAACTGTCAAAAGCATGCAGGTCCAAGACATAGGAGAGATCAACCCTGAACAGGTGGAAGAAAGAAAGCTTTGTATTTTTGCCATATTTACATATTATATATACTTAAACAATTATTTTTAAAATGATTCTCTGAAGCTTATGTTTCTTTTCCTTCTATCATTCTAATGTAATCAATCCTTAGCCTTATTTTTGGATGTTGGTGTTGCTATTGTCTCCTATGAGGAAACACACTTTTTATTTCCACAGTAATAGGTAAGCACAGAAATGTAATTTTTAAAAATACAGTAAAATACAAAGTATTTCCAAGAAAGATGATAAATCCCTCATACTGGATGACTGAATAATAACTGCTTTTCCCTAAATGGGGAAAAGAACCCTGAAGTTCTTCCCAGGAATTACTATGCACCCTTAATATTTACTAGTATAGCATATAGACACACAAACCCCTGGAATATATGTAACTTCTACTGACACACTGTTAACAAATAAAACTGAAATACACTATGAGGCAAGTGCTACTATGAAGAATTTCATCTCTAACATTTGAAACTTAGACAAACGAAAAACGTAATATGGAACAGACAGCACTGATCGTATTTACTTGTAAGAACAGCTACCTGTAAACCTGCATAAGCAGCTTTTTTTATAAAAGCAATATAGACTGTAGGTTTCATTGCTAATAGCAACTGACAGCTTTCTAAACGCTGTTAACAATGTGGCTAAATACAAAGAATATATGAGAAGTTAAAAGCAAATAAAAAAAAAAAACAACAACAAAAAAGATCTCTGGAGCGTAGCCAGTATTATTAAACTTTTACTTCCAACAGTAGCTTTACAAAGCAGTTTCTAAGATGAAAGGTTTATAACATAAAACACATACATAACACCTCTCTAAAGTTCATGACCAACTCAATGCCAGCTATTTCTTCTCAGCAGTGTTCCGAAAAATCACACAGAAACACTCAAGAAAGTGCTATATTGGTGCCTCTTACAAGTGGGCTTTTGAAGGACAAAATCCCTTAGTTAAAGAACACACATTCTCAAATAACACATTAATAAATTAATTTGGGGCTTATTTCACTTTTGGAATGTTTAAACATAGGAGAGACAGTACGTGTCACTCGCCAAAGAATATTTAATAGTAGCACAGTAATTGTCATTGAGGACTGCATCTGAGGTCTTCTTAATTTGATACTCAAAATTTAATGTTGGCTGGCATCAGCTACTAGAGAATGGTACAGATGTGGATACCAAATTTCCCATATAGGATCTCTTCCTAATGGACATGGATGGCTACTGACTTAAGACTCAAAGCATGAAGTTTGTTACCCTCTTCAAAACTGTTACCCATGCTGGGTACCATCATCATCTTTACAGAAACCTTTTTTGTTTTTTTTTTTCACCATGTTACAATAATCTTGGCCTCAAACCCGCACTGATTTCCTAGGGCTGTCAGACCCATACGTATGCAATTTATGAGTGATTTAACTTTATCAAATAAGAGTTTGCTTCTTTTCCCCCTCCAAAGCATTTCACTGACCACTTCTGTACTCTGCTTTGCAACTAAAGAACAAGCAACTCCTGATCTGCCCTCTCAAAACTACTGTTTGTTCTCAGGGAAATCATCAGGTTCCCACTTCTTCCATTTCAGCTGGAGCAATCTGTTGGAAATCTTTTTCATCTAAATGTTTTCTTAAGCCCTGATCATCCTTCATCTTCTTCCCCCTTCTGTGGCAAAGGTAAAATTTCCCACCCCTCATAATATAAGCTCCAGAACTTCAAAAATTAGTATCATGTTCCCAAAAGTTTACTAAACAGGAGGAAATGGAAATGCTACAATCGTATCTCTGCAACTCTGTCACTTTACAGTATTTGTTCTTCTTTTGTACTGCACTCAAAGTACATACATTAGATGAAGAAATATCGGACTGTATAGAGGTCAAGAAAACTGTAAATATAGAGGTCTCAAAAACAAAAGATAGTCAAATTTGAATATTATAAAATTAACTGTGAGTAAATATCCGAGATTTACTATCAGAATAAAGCCTTACTTAAATTTAACCTACAGTTACCAGAACATTATCTCCATCCACAGAGAAAAACACCTGTAGCATTATTCTAATATAACTCAACTTAATAGTACTAACTTACTAATACTGAATTTACAGAATCTGACAGATTAACAAAAGTCTAAAGATTTTCAATAGACTCTAGAATTATTATTTACACATTAAAACTCTTTAACATATCAAAAAAGCTGGTGAACATTAAAAGCTTGATTATCAGCATTGCTCGCAAGTTTATCCACACTTGCTATTTCGAATGAAAGTCTCTAAATGACAAGAAATCCATTGAAGCAAGTAACTTTTTATGTAAAAGAGATACATGCTGATTTAAGAGAAATTATCTTCTGAGGATCACTAGAAGAACAACAAATGAATCAACATGAAATGCCTCTCAGTAATAGAATTTATCATCGTCTCTATAGTATTGTTTATTCTTGTTCTAAGCATTCCTTAACAGAATTTGCGAGTTGGCAAGGAAGGAGTGTGAAGTTGTCAAATTTCACCTTCCTCCTTGCACAAAGTAACGAAACCAATATGAAAATAATCCTTATAAACTAACATGACAGTCACTGACAAGAATGTTTTTCATAGTGCAACTGTTCAACAGCTGGGCATAAAACTTCCAGTGATCGAACTGCAGACATAATTTCAAACAAGTTGAAGTCAATCGAAACGTTAACAAGATTAACGTTTTTGAAAACGTAAACTAAGCTGATCTTTAGATCAAAGTCAGAGAAGCACCTATCTTCAAAACTCTGGATTACCAAATAAAGTATGTATTCTACAGTCCCTTGTTGATCATATCTGATCAGCCAACAACAGCAAATGTTTTTCTCTACACTTTCCAACTACATTTGGAAATAACTTTAAAAAGCCAAGTATATTTCACTAAGATTGTATTTTCCATTCAAAAATTGCTTAAAGCAGGAACTGGTATTATAGGGACGTTTATCCCAATACAGTCAACTTATTGACGTAAAAGCACACAAATCAGTCCTAGAAGCCTGGTCTCCTAACAACCCTGAGAATATTATTTCCATTTATTAAAGAAGAAATCTGAGTAAGAATTTCAATGAAAAATAGCAAAAAACTAAGCAATTACTTCTCCTTCTTACAAACACCCTTGCACTGCTTTCAAGGTAATTTTGTAGTAACAACTTCTCTGCAGCAGCCATCATAAGTGAGAAAAATCTTTTAAACTGACACGATAGAAAAAAAATGTTATAGTGAACATTATCAATCATTAGCTCAGATACAGCTTGGCCTAACAAGTTGCTCTTTAGCTACAAGATCTAATTGACAAGTTACGGGAAACTTTGAATTTCTACCTATAACACTCCCTTAAAAATCTGCTACATTTTCAGAATATGCTGAAGTCAATTAAACTACATCCATATTACCATTTTTCAGGAATTTCCAACTGTTATTACTCAATAAATGGCAACATGACTAAAATGCAACTTTCATAACTAAAAGTCATATTCCTATTAAACTTAGAAGAAAATGTAGGTTTTGGAAAAATTAGTGCCTAAACTTTTGTAAAACCCACTTCTCATGTAAATAAGAAATATTTATGGTGATATTGCAAAGTCCAATAAAACCCACTAGTGATAAGCTCTGTAAACTAAGCTACATCTTAACAGTGATTTTTTTTTTTTTGCACTAGTTATATGCTAGACTGTAGGATGTGAACAGTAACAAAGAAAAATAAATTTTTACCTCTTTAAAAAAAATTCTTTATCTAAATGCTTACTACTTAAATAAATATTGAGCTTAATATTTCTAATTCAGTAATTTTTCTTTAACCAAACTGATCTAATAGCATACTTAAATCTGTCACGAAAGAAGCAGGATCTGGTACCTAGTAATAGTGGCCATTTAATACCTTGATCTTTGTGTCTCTAGAATTTTAACAAGTCCATTTATTGACCTAAAATAAAATAAAAAAATCAGAAGTTAGACAAAAACACAACCAATACGTTGCTTGAACAACTTAACCATGGAAAGCAGCATGAGAAATAGCACCACAACAATAACTCCAACTCTGTTACCAACTTGTTGAACAAAGTAACAGACACCCCAATGAGACTTCATTTTTATTACTTTCTCCTACCCTAAGTAAGGGCTGAGGAACTTCACAAGTTCTGACAACAAAATACTACCAGTAAGAATAGCGTTTTCCTGTACAAGACTCCTCATGATACACTCTGCTAGGTCTAAGCATTTTGACTTTTAGAATTCAAATGACTAATAGAGTTGTGAGGTATTTCAAAACTTCAGTGTTTTGTTTTGGTTATCATGGTACCAACAGATAAAGATTGGACACGCCTTTGATCACTAATTCGATTCAGACCATTGGTTCTTCTACACCCAAGACCACTATTTGGTACTTCCTCCATACATCTTTGTATTCGCTAGTGAACTCATATCTACTAGCAGATTTTTCTTCCCTGAAGTTAATTTAGAAAAATGGGGACAGTTGCCCAAAAATATAAGAACATGGACACTTAAGACAAAGGCCTGTTCTTAGCAGGTAACTTCAAATCTTACCTAGATATGCAAACTGCTAAGCTTGTGCAAGCACATAAAAGGAGCAGTCTCTTTTTCCCTGCCAAACTAATGATTTATGTCAACGTAATCATGAGATCTAATTTCTATATTAACAGCAAGCAGGAAGTAACTATGCTTAAACAAAAATAACCTTTGAGCCAGTACAGTGCTACAGTTATGCTGAAAGTTTCATACCTGACAGATGTTCTGACTTTATTCAGTTCTTCCCCTGAGACCAAATCTGTTTTATTGATGATTACAAGATCAGCTAGTGCAACCTGCCTATGCATTAAGGGGAGAAAAAAAAAAAAAAAAAAAAGAGACAACATGAACAAATTCTTCTTCTGTAAGGAAGAAACACCATCTTTTCCATAGTACCAAAAAAACAGTATGAGCATTGTTAGTACAGAAAGGCAAGCGTTAATCAAGCTAGAACATCACGGAGTCTGACTAAAGTAGTACTGTCTTCTTGAGCTGCCCTTCTGTGCCATAAGAGGATTCTACCAAGCCACAAAGGCTTGCTAGTTTTTGGGGTTTTGGTTTGGTTGTTTTTTTGAAAAGAAGTCATCTAATCCACAGTGCTCTGTAGCTGACGAAGCCCCTGTTTCTCTTGCATGTACTCTTCACAAAGTCATACTTGAAGTCTCTTTGCTTCATGAAGGCTTCTGTTGTTGCAATTGCCCTTAATCATTGCGGCTTCATATCTAGCAAAACATATCCCTCTATATCCAGTTCTACTTTGAGCATCTGGTAGATTTTAGCATGCAATTCTTCCTTCCCCCCAACACAGGTGGTTTTCCTTCACTTACTTAAAACCTCACCTCTCTTAAAATATGTATTAGACAAGTCAGATCTCGGCAAAAAGACCAATGAGCATGAATCACTTTTCTACCTCATTACACCAATTACAATGGTTTAAAAGCAAAGGAGGATAGAAAAGCCTCATAAAACAAAAAGTGCCCATTTCTAATCAACTTCTATAAAGCGCAGTTTCTAAATGTGATATATAAAATTAATTTATGTATCCATACCGAGATGCTTCATTGACAAGGCCTTCTGGCTTTTCCTCTGTCAAGTGCTAGACAAAAATTAAAACAATTGGATTAAGGATATTCAAATGACCTTTAAATTCATTTGCAGTTAAAGGACTTCAATTTAGCTGAGGTATATTTTTCAGAAACGTATTGAGAAAGATGGCATCTAGAATTTTTCTGTAAAATGATGGTGACAAAGTACATTTATACATTCACAATCTCTGAAGCTTATAATTTCTTTTATTAAAACTCTTCTTTTTTAATGAGTTTTATGACTAAAATGCTAAAGAGTTGGAAAATTGTATTACAGTATTTATTTTTGATTGTTTTTCAGACTGACAATCAAGCAAAAAAGTCACCACGACATACAGTAACTATGGAAAAACATATCCGAAAAAATGAAAGCAGAGTAATCTTTCTAACGAGTTGATGTTGACTGTTAAAGATGTTAGGAGTTAAAGGGTTAGGACTGTTTAACAGCTAGGACTGTTAAAGAGTTAGGCTTGCAGTACAGGATTTCATATACATAACTGCATACTCTTTTTTCCCTGGAAGACTTGAGAAACTGTACTTTTGTAGTAAAAATTCGTAACTTTTTTCTGGGTTTGCACAAATAAACCACTACTCCTTGGCGAGTCTGCCCAACATCAGTGTTTCGGGTCTATACAAGCTGTAACTGGGCAGAAGAGTCAGTCAGCACCAACAAAAGCAGCAGCTTCTGGTCACGCTGCAGGAGTTTAGTATCTCAATCATCCACAGCTTCGTGCTCCACTTGTCTGCCCAAGCTAATGTCCTCACAGAAGAATTAGTGAAAGGAAAAAAACAATGCTTCATCTCAAGCAGCAGCATGAAGTTTAGCAACGAAAAGCTTTACTTTCATAAAAAATTTAGGCAGAGCAACAGACTTTACACTGAAGCAGCAAAGGTTCAGCTACAAGTTATTTTCTGCCTACTCTGCCACGGACGCAGCAATCTCCGGGAGAGAAGCACCACAGACACCTGCAGGCAGCAAAGCTTTAAACTGGTGTTGTAATATTAGTAAGAGCTCACCTCTTACACCTGACATCTCTGGGAGGATTATAGCCCTGTGCATTCCTTCATCAGCCCTGAACGTACCAGGAATATTATTTTAAAATTTGATTCTAAAGACCTAAGTATGCCAAATGAAAGTGGAATTAATTGTCATGGGAAATATATAAATTAAAAATCCCTAGTTTTTTCTTCAAGTGGAATTATGAGGCATGTAACACAATTTGACTTGAAAAACAAAACTAGATTATTCCATACTGTCAGTCTGTGACCTCTGTGACCTTAGGAAAAAAAAAAAAAAACAACTATTTCCTGATTGTGCACAACTCAAGCAGAGCATAACAATGAGATGACTGTGAGAGAACCTCTCCTCTGACCTTTTCTTTGAAATCCTCTGTGTATTAGTTCTATTGAATTAAATGCTGTCAGATTTGTTTCCCTGGAAGACAATGCCAATAGCGTGGATGTCAAGTCCTGGAAGTAGAGAACTGTCACTTCAAGTTTTCCAACTGTTTGCCCGTGATTTAAAAAAATGAGTATTTCAGATTGCTGGGTGACAAATCCATTAGAGTGATAACCCATGGTATCAATTATCACTTCAGTTTCAATTTGGCTGACTGGTCACAGGGCACTATTTATCACCTTTTCTTGTGATGGGTTGGTTCTTTGAAGCATGACATGCTTAAATTGCTGCCTATTATCTCAATGTCATTAACTGTATGGCTTTCAGAATTCTTTGAATCACAAGCAGCTGTTGAGGTCAAGCTTTGCAGCCAGAGCAACTGCACAAGTTAGAAAGTCCTTTATATAAAGCAAAAGTTATTTACTTGGTACATAACTGAGAAAGCCTGAAGTTTCTATTATTCTGAGTAGATGTCAGTTCTGTACAGGCTTACTGATTAAATAATGTAAAAGTTTTCAGGGAGCTGTTCAAGATAATAATGGATAGAAAAGCTGAATGGTTCAAAACATTTTTGTGTTGCTTCTGACATACTACTTAGAATCATAGAATCATAGAATCGTTAGGGCTGGAAGGGACCTTCAAAGGTCATCTAGTCCAACCCCCCTGCAAGGAACAGGGATATCTCCAACTAGATCAGGTTGCTCAGGGCCTCATCCAACCGGGCCTTGAACGTCTCCAGGAACGGAGCATCCACCACCTCTCTGGGCAACCT